AACTTCTTTTTTTCTAGGGATTCAGAGGCGGCGTTTGGCACCCAAAGGTGTTCGGGGCCAAGATGACCGAGACAAATGGAAACAAACTTCTTTTTTTCTAGGGATTCAGAGGCGGCGTTAGGCACCCAAAGTGCGACCATGGGAGGCTCGTTTTGGACCAGAATTAGCTCCTGGGCTGTCCAACAAAGCCCCCGCAAACAGCTGCCAGTCTATTAGCACAGCCAGAACAGAGGCATTGCTACTTCTTTTTCTTCTTCTTCTTCTTCTTATTCTTCTGCTTCTTCTTCTTCTTCTGCTTGCCATTCTCCAGCCACGCAGATAGACCTGCGGCCGTCCACAGGAAGTGCTACGGTCAGCACCAGGGCTGCCGCAGCACAAGCCTTGCTGCCTCAGCACCTGGGCTGTCCAACAAGGCCCCCGCAAACAGCTGCCAGTCTATTAGCACAGCCAGAACAGAGGCATTGCTACTTCGTTTTCTTCTTTTTCTTCTTCTTCTTCTTCTCCTTCTGCCTCTTCTTCTTCTTCTTCTTCTTCTTCTGCTTGCCATTCTCCAGCCACGCAGATAGACCTGCGGCCGTCCACAGGAAGTGCTACGGTCAGCACCAGGGCTGCCGCAGCACAAGCCTTGCTGGCTCAGCACCTGGGCTGTCCAACAAAGCCCCCGCAAACAGCCGCCAGTCTATTAGCACAGCCAGAACAAAGGCATTCCTACTATGCTTCTTGCTGCCTGTTGCTAGTGGTTTTTCTAATCTTGTGATGCTTCTGGGTCTTCTTCTTACTACTGCTGCTGTGATTGCTGTTGTTGGTGTATATCCCGGGGTCGGCGGCAGGGGCGGCAGCCCTTAAATCCGGGCGCCGGCCAGGACGCCCGTGGCATGCCCGGAGGGCCTTCGGTGGTAACCGAAGGTTATAGACGGGCGCGCCCCCTGCCGCCGACCCTCGTCACCAAAACGGGGGGACCACCGAGTCACTGATATCAACGTAATTTACAGGGTTTCGTGTGTGTGAGGTATAAAAACACTGTGTTTTACAGGGTTTGGGGGCCCTCGGCGGCCGAGAATTTCATCTGGGCGATGTCAAAAAACCTATGTTTTTTCATGGTTTTTGCTTTGCGGGAAGGAAAAAATCGCCAAAAGTTGTATCGGAAGATTTTTTGAACATAAATCGCCTAACATATCCCCAACATAGGCCCAAGATAGCCAACAGATCCCCAACATATGCCCCACATAGCCTCCAAGATGGCTCAACATAGGGCCAACATAGGCCAACTTGGGGCCAACAGACGCCAACATAGGCCCAACATAGGCCCAAGATAGCCAACACATCCCCAACATATGCCCAACATAGCCTCCAAGATGGCTCAACATAGGGCCAACATAGGCCAACTAGGGGCCAACAGACGCCAACATAGGCCCAACATAGGCCCAACCGAGGCCAACATAGGGTTAACGTGCTCAACCGTAGGATCAATATGGGCCCCAGATGTGCTCTTTGTGGCCAACATATCCCTTTACAGGGTTTCGGGCCCCTCGGCAGCCGAGAATTTCAGCTTGGCGACGTAAAAAAAACACGTCGGTTTTTTCAGTGTTTTTGGTTTGCGGGAAGGAACAAATCGTCAAAAGTTGTATCGGAAGATTTTTTCAACATAATTCCTAACATATCGCCAACAGAGGCCCTAGATAGCCAACATATTCCCAACATATGGCCAACATAGCCTCCAAGATGGCTCAACATAGGGCCAACATAGCTCTTTGTAGCCAACATATCCCTTTACAGGGTTTCGGGCCCCTCGGCAGCCGAGAATTTCAGCTTGGCGATGTGAAAAGAAAAACGTAGGTTTTTTCAGTGTTTTTTGGTTGCAACGGCTCTCCCGACTTTCGGCTTCTGCTTAGAGAAGCCAGGGCAGTCAGCCTCCTCCCGTGTGGAGGATGCTGCTGGGATGCCCTATGTCCCAGCCCCCGCGCTAACCTCTGTTCTGGCAATACGAAATAGGCTGGAACGAAAGTCTCACTGTCGCCAGATGCCTGCGAGTCATCACCGGGGGTGTGGGTAGCTGGCATGAGCGACGCTCTGGCCAGAGGCGAAGTTGACCTCTGGCTTTCTTCTGGGGATACGAAACAGGTTCGAAGAAAATTCTCCTGGAATCCACGTTCACAAGACAGCAGGGATGCCCCATGTCCCAGGCCCCGCACAAACCTCTGTTCTGGCATGCTTTGTTTGTAACTGTTTGTCTGTTTCTGGTTTACTGCGTCTTGGTGTACAGTGTGTCGCGCGTGCAAGAAAGACACGAAAGCCCGTGCCCTGCCCGGAGGGCCTTCGGTGGTAACCGAAGGTTATAGACGGTCGCGCCGGCTGCCGCCGACCCTCGGTCCCAAAACGGGGGGACGACCGGTCAACTGAAGCCCCTGTAATTTACAGTGTATCGTGTGTGTGAGGTATAAAAAACACTGTGTCTTACAGGGTTTATTGCGCATATCGAAGTACGACGCGGGGAAGAGGGAAAAATGCAAAAATGCTGTGTTTTTCAAGGGTGGTGTCGGTAATGCGGGCCGGGCGGACAGGCTTAATCGACATTTTGTGGGTAGAGGCCCTCCAGACGATTTACATTTCCTAACATATCCCCAACATAGGCCCAAGATAGCCATCATATCCCCAACATATGCCCAACATAGCCTCCAAGATGGCTCAACATAGGCCTAACATAGGCCCAACATAGGCCCAACCTAGGCCAACATAGGCCAACATAGGCCTAGCATAGGCCACAAGATGTGCCCAAGATGTGCCCAACATAGACCACATGGGCCCAACTTGGCCCAACCTAGGGCCAAGATGCGCACCAGATAGCTTCACTTTGCTCAATATAGGCCCCAGCAAGGCCAACATAGGCGCGCCATACTCCCCACAGACCCAAGTGGCCGGCGCCCGGCTGTCAGGCGTAAGCCTTTAAATCCGGGCGCCGGCCACGCGCCCGTGTCCTCGCCGGAGGCCTTCGGTTGGTAACCGAAGGTTATAGACGGGCGCGCCCCCTGCCGCCGACCCACCGCCGACCCTCGTCATCAAAACGGGGGGACGACCGGTCAACTGAAGCCCCTGTAATTTACAGTGTATCGTGTGTGTGAGGTATAAAAAACACTGTGTTTTACAGGGTTTCGGGCCCCTCGGCAGCCGAGAATTTCATCTGGGCGATGTCAAAAAACCTAGGTTTTTTCATGGTTTTTGCTTTGCGGGAAGGAAAAATCGTAAAAAGTTGTATCGGAAGAGTTTTTCGACATAAATCGCCTAACATATCCCCAACATAGGCCCAAGATAGCCAATATATCC